GTTGGGGGTTAATGTTGGCTTTAGGACCATTGTTACGGTTAGGAGGGCCAGAATGAGGGTTATGGTTGATGTTACGGCTTAGACTAGGAGGGTAGGGTAAGTTTTCGGACTAAAATAAGAACACGGGAAGAGAGGGACCCCCGGAAGTTGGCGCGCGGCCACCTGTAGTGCTGGGGGTCCAAATTCCAGTGTCTGGCCCACTCAACCTCTGTGGAACAACCGTGTAATGACCATTCTACGAACAGATAGTACTCCAAGCAGTGTAATTTTCAAATGTATGCATACTTCCTATCCTCATCTTAACTTCCAGTCCAAACCCGAGGTTTGTGGAGATGAATCTACTTCAGAGCTTCACAATAGTTTTTTTTGCGGAAATTAAAAAAGTGTAACATTGACGTAATACTAGCTTTATTTGATCTTTTCCAGTCTACTTTTTTATTTCCTATTTTAGCCTAAGTGCATTCAAATAGCATGCAGTTAATTCCACCCCAATATATTCCAGTCTAGCAATAATAATAGCAACAACCAGCTTAGATAATATTTTTTAACTCACTCCATCGATATCAACCTTTTCCACGCATATTTCCCTATTTTGTGATCTAATTTATGTGCAAGGTTTCTCCAGCCAGCTCTTACAACGACTCATTTTAGCACTAAACTTTTTCCATGGTCTTTAGGTTACACTAACAGTCAGTTTTGCGAAACGTCTTCTCCAGGCACTGGCGACATTTCTTAAAAGCGGTTATTTGGGAAGACAGGCTAGAAACCGGTTTGTAAATATCTTGGCAAAATTGAAAACTGGCTCCAATCAAATATTGGCCTGGACTTAATGTTTTTGCTCCTACCTTCTACGATGAGTGCTTACGGTGCAAGTGCATGCTTCCTTCAGTCGGGTTTTTTGCATTAAATAAGCAACGATTATTTAATACGGACTACTTCAACAAAACCGTAGGACCGGAAGTCGCGATTTCGGGGGGTCTAAGCGTCCTACAGATCGCCCAATTTGATAATGCACTGGGATTTGAAGGGGTTTCGTTGGGGATGCGGACCTTTCTCACTGATTGCCCTTTCATCACCCCGTGATGCCAAATTCAACAGACTTTGAGACGCTCTTCCGTCCAAGATCTATAAAGGGACGTCGCGCCTTGAACCCGTCTAGTACCCTTGACATGGGGAAAAACTTATCACATCCCGCTCGATCAGTGAAGTCTTAAGCGTCTGCGACCCGCTGAGGCACACAATCGTGAAGGAACTGCACTGCAGAGAACTGCAAGATCTGGAGCTAGGTTCCAAAGCTGGGCGGCGCCACGCGTGCGGCCATGAGTTCGGCGGTTCATCACATGCGCACGCCCAATGCGGCGCGCGCTCGTGCACACCTACCACCTCAGTGCAACCAGTCTACTGCAACCAAGCCACTAAACCAACCAATCAGAATAGCGTTGAAGCAAAGCTACCAAAGGGAGGTGAATTTATCGACAATATTTTGAACTGTCCCGTTCCACTGGTGTACTACATCGGGCTTCGCAACAATGAGTGACGGAAGCCGAAAGGCAGTTGTAAAAAATGTGGATATGTCGGAGGAGATGCAACAGGATGCCATTGACGTGGCCACCCACGCCTTTGAGAAGTTCAACATAGAGAAGGACATTGCAGCTTACATAAAAAAGGAGGTATGCTACTCGCTTTCTGCCGTCTTCATCGTCTCGGCTTGTCTAGTTCGATAAACGTCACAGTCCAACCTGGCATTGTGTCGTTGGGAGGAATTTTGGAAGCTATGTGACCCACGAGACGAAGCATTTCATCTACTTCTATGCGGGACAAGTGGCAATCCTTCTGTTCAAGTCCGGTTGAACACACTTCTGTCAGGCGCCTACGACAATCCGTTACGCGTATGGTCGCGTAAGATCCCCATTGTTTCCTTTGTTTAACAGTTACTGTACACAATAAAAGAGTTTCTTCTACTTGTGCTGTCTGCACGAAGTCCTTGGCACAATTAAATCAGGAATGCCGGTCGCAGTAGTTTGCTTATCGTTGCCATCTGCAACGTAAACCCCCCTTACACTTCCCCGGAGCAGTCGGCTACCTATTCTACGCTCGTCTGCTAGTTCTATTCTGCGCGCAGCTAGTCTGGGGCTGGATCTATGGGCTATGTTCCTCCAAAACAAAAAAATTGTGCGCCGGCATTCGTCATAACTTAGACGACCAGACATACTGCTTCAGCGTCCAGCCTTCATTTGAAGCGTTAATAGCCCCTCTCATCCAGAAGCGCCCGGTGGCTTCCCTTTTACACGTGAGATTGCGCTCGTTTTTTGGTAGCTGGCCACGCCGGTTATCATTATTTTAAAGCTCTCATGGGTGGCGCATTCTCGGCTTTCGCAGTCCCTTGTAGACAGAGTCGAGTATTTTTTTTTCGAGATGGCAGAAAAACCCACGGAGGTAGAAGGAGTGGTATGAGTACGTGTATGAAGTTGTGTGTTGGCAGGATGGTGGTACTCATGTGCTGCGGTCCACGTGGGCCCATCTGACTGAGGACGACGTGTCTTCATGCATCCCTGCTCGCCACTCAGGAGAATGCCACCAAGACGACCAAAATCGGTCCCACCCAGTTTACAGAGAATTATTGTTTGCAAAGTTAGGCTGGAGTCCATTAAATCAACTATCTGGCCAACGCGATCAGCGGATACTCGGTCGGAAGCTGGGATTTTACTTTTGAAACGTGGTCTTCTGGAGTAACAGACTCGAGCAAGCCGCATTATAATCCATAAATGCTAGAAAAATGAGGATTATCGGGGAAAAGTGTACTGGAGTTTTTCGCGGTGTACATGCGGTAGGTGACGCATCACACGAAACGTAAACTGAAATTGTGAATCATGATCCCGGGTATAAAGTATTAACTACCCACTAGTAATGATGATCGCACAGCATAGTCTCAAGGTATTTCGGCCGCAACAAGACGCCTGTTTTGCACGGCAAAAATCAATTGCTGAAAAACTGCCTAATCAGTTAGTGGGGGCTCTTCTCGCTTTATTTCCTGTGCCTTTATAAGTCCGAGCATATTTTGTAGTAGGCGTGCACATAAATATCCTTCCATGTACGGATTCGATAGTAAATTACGCCTTGTCTAAATCTTCTGCTCGAAGAAAGGACACCTTTCGGTTCCTGAAGGTTTGTGTTTTGAGATTTCTTAAGACCATAAAATGACTATTCGAATACCGTCGTGGTCCATATCCACGTATGGTATTTTAATAACATGGAGGGACACGTTATTTTCCTCACATGGGAACTGCACAGCTTGCAATCAGGAAACGCTGAATGCACGTGTAACGACAGGTCAGGTCCAGAACCATTTGGGAATTTAAACAAGGCGAAGGCGACGAAACATGCAGAATTTACTGACGTCATAAAATTTCGTGACCTCTTATTCAACTGCGTACGGTCATTAAGTATTTAAGGTCCTACTTCAGGCAGCGACTGGGCGTCTCCTGCGCTTTGCAGAGGCCTCTGCAATACGGAGAAAACCAGAACTCTGTAAGCAGCTCGACCACGTGATCAGCCGCGCGTTGCCTCGGCAGGGACCGATGGTAGACGTAACCCATCCCCTCTCTCGTCCTCATAATTAGCCCCCCCCCTCCCCGCACGATTAACTGCTATTCCATGCATTGCGGTTTTGATCGCGTTCGACAGGTTCTCACTTGCTTAGACAACTTCGCTCGTCCACATCCGCATACCGGACTGACAGTCCACGTTTTATTTTTATATCACGTGTCATCCCTCTAGGTCGTGCTCTCATTGGACAGTTTGTCCAGTCCTATTAATACACAAAGACCATACGCGGTTGAATAAGAGGTCACGCATTTTTATGACGTCACTAGATTCTGCATGTTTCGTCATTTTTGCCGTTCTAAGATTCATTAGAGGAAAACGATGCTTCAATTGTTTTCCAATTAGAAAACAGGAAAAGGATTTGAGGGAGATATGACAGTTCGACCGTCGATTGCGAAGATGTTCACCGTGTGCTACACAGCAAGGTGCAGCGGGCACGGCGACTTGCGCGGCATCTACCGCACTCTCTCTTCCCCACCTGGATCTGGTGTCAAGACAGATCCAAGAAGACCGTAGGCGGGGAGGGCGCAGGTGGCTGGCACGGCCAGACCCGCACCTAGGCGTGCCACCTGGTCCATAACATACACTCGATCAGTATTTTTCACCAAAAACAACACCCCAACAGGGGTTAGAAGGACGAGGATGATGACTGGACAGCCATGCTCACCACCTCTGTACCCAGTGGGAGCGCAAGCGCATCTACCGTCAGGGAACCAGGTGTCAGGCAACTGCCAGCGCATACCAGGCTGCGAGGGCCATGGTTTGCTGATACTGGCATAGCACACGCTTTCAGATCTTGTTGACTGAGGGATATATAATGCGCCACAAAATGAGTACAAGCAGGGATATTTTGTACGCGTTTTTATAAAATATACTTATACTCAAAGGAGCATCGAAAATCAATGTGGAAAGTCCTACTATTCAAATATTTGAAACATTTTGTCGCCGGTACGAAGCTGAAGTAGGCAAGCAGGGCAGGATTTAATGATACCAAAAAATTCCGTGACGGCTCGTCAGCTGCGTCCTGTCGCTTCTTAACATACATAACGAGTGGGAAGAATACAAAAGATTTGAATTCGTGCAGAAAATCAATGCAGAAACAGCAAGGTCATGGTTTTTGGTAAAGCTGGCCAATCGATAAAGTTAGTAACTCAAACACCGTCTGGGAAGAATAGTGAAAAAAGGGGAGCGTGAACGAGCAAAAAAAGTGAGGGGGGAAGGGAAAATCATGGAGCGAGAGGCTACTATGGCAATTTTGGGCTCTAGCTCCATGATTTTCCCTTCCCCTCTCACTTTATTTGCTCGTTAACACTCCCCTTTTTCACTATTCTACCCAGACGGTGTTTGAGTTACTAACTTTATCGATTAGCCAGCTTTACCAAAAACTATGACCTTGCTGTTTCTGCATTGAATTTCTGCACGAATTCAAATCTGTTGTATTCCTCCCACTCGTTATCTATGTTATGAAGCGACAGGACGCAGCTGACGAGCCGTCGCGAAATTTTTTGGTACCATTAAATCCTGTCCCGCTTGCCTACTTCAGCTACTATTTGAGTAGTCATTTTTAACGAATATGATCCATAAGCGCATTTAAAAGCCGGCATTCTGACTTATTTGCATGGTAGTTAGTATTAGAACCCCACCTAAGTAATAATCTCTATAGGAAGTCACGTTTCGGAGTTTTTAGTTAATGTCCCATGAGTTACGCCACCAATGGCAAACCCACCCGCCTCGTATTCTAGACAAGGATAACGCGTTGGTGGGCTCGCGTTAGATACCTTCCCTCAGCCAAATGCATTGAATATGAAGTGAAGTGTAGTACTGGCGAGCTTTTCTTTCGTTGACCGCGAAACGGATTACTCTCCTGCTGGTTTGGCGTCCAAGAATGAATACCTGAGGGTTACAGTAGTGTTCCGTTTTTACAGGCTATTTCCACTGGCAGTAATTCAAACTACTCTCCGTTTCAAGCTCATGGCGTGTTCATTTAGCAGTTTGCACTCATCAGCGGAGATTACGCACGAGAAGGCGGCAGAACGGGGGGGGAGCCGTGATGTTTGTGGTGCTGTTATCGGTGTCGCAGTTCCTCGCCTGCTCCTAACCTCTGTAACCACATCCTCATTGATAATTTTTCAGACAGTCACGCTGTGATCTTGAGAATGTGGTTTATTTTACCCTCAAACGCGTGAGCGTGGATACCGTTGGCTGAAGTCCGTAATTCACTGTTGACATATCGACGTCCTAGGAGGACTGGTGTCGACCCACCTCATCTTTTGCCACCCGGAGAGAAGGTTAATTGGAGAAAAAGCCAACACTGTGGCCCTCTCGTCTCCTCGGAGTTTATGCCAGCACATGTATTGCCATTCCCAATGTGTGTGTAATTCATGATTGCAGTCAAGGTAACCTGAGTTGTATGATTCAGGTGCACACGCCCACTCAGTAAGCCCAGCGTGGCGTATCCTTGATGGCTTTTGCGCTCAGTGACAGTCGTCTTCATTACTAGTAAAAAGGATTTTTGCGCCTAATTTCTATTCCTGTTGTCGATCGCGAAGGACGACGCCTACCGCGTCCCCGACGGGGTGGGACGCAGTAATCGATTAAACAAGAAAGAGATCAGACCGGCGACAGACACGCTGGTAACGATGGTTAGGTGGGGAGGCAGCGTTTCTTGCCCTAAGTGACTGTGCGGCACCATGGGTTATCACGCTGAAATTCTTTGAAGATTTTGCGAAATCCACGCAAGCAAAATTTGCGCAGGAAACTTCCATTCTCAAGTTGATGTGTCGAGCTACGCAGAAAGATGTTTTTCATCAGTATGCAAATGAGCGAACGCAAAATAAAGGGATACTCATTTGCATAGTTTCGTGCCTTTTCCAGCATCACGTGTGGAGCGGCGGATTAACCACAAAGTATCGACTTTTCATTGGCTCATTTGAGCCAATAAATGGGCTATTTACTTTGTCTGCAGTTCGTACACACTTTGTCCGCCCAGTAAGGTTTGCCGGATCTCGTTGTTTTGCAGAAAAATGTCATTTGGGTGCGCATATAAAAATAAAAACAAGGCACTAGTGGGCTCTAATTTCAAAATAGAAAAAGCTATCTTAGGTCATTGGGTGATAAACAGGGCGTCCAGAAATTATAAGACCGCCTGCTTTGATCAGGTCGATTCGGTTTTTTGCCTGAGGGAAGGAGAGAGAGAGAAAAAAAAACGAAAAGTTATAGCATCTAGCGTAAACAACTTTTCATGACAGAAGGGTTTGCTATAACGTTAAGTTACGAGGAATACCAGAAAATGCCTGTTCGAAATTATAAAGTTATTTACACGTTTGTCTCGGCATTTTGGTTTAAAAGGATGCATAATCTCTGTTTCGCCTGGGAATTTCAACACAACGTCTAGAGATGCTAGTAATCAAACGCTAAAATTCCGGTTCCCTTTAAGCATACGACGTCTGTTGAATGGGCCCTTCTGCAGTAGATCGGTCGGCTAGTGAGTCCGACCGTTGCGGATAAAGGTTCTGATGGATTATAAAATCGGTAGCATACTTCTGCACGCACACATGCAGCGGCAGTCGCACGACCAACATCGTCATCAGATGTTCCCTTTTATTGTCACCTACTACTACTACTACTACTACTACTACTACTACTACTACTACTGCTACTACTACTACTACTACTACTACTACTACTACTACTACTACTACTACTACTACTACTACTACTACTATTACTACTACTACTACTACTACTACTACTACTACTACTACTACTACCAATACGCCCCAGCCTGCAGCCCGCGCTCCTGACCTGCCTTGCCACCAGGCACAGGCGGATGATGGAGGCGGAGTGCGATAGGTGCTGCGCAAGGCA